CAGGATAATCTTTTCCATGATTTTACCAGGCACAGTAGTGAAGCTAACAGGCCTGTAGTTCGCAGGGTCATCCTTCCTGCCCTTTTGAAAATCAGGACAACATTAGTAGCTTCCAGTCAAGCAGGACCTCTCCAGATTCCCAGGACTGTTGAAATATTGAGAGAGGCCTCACGATGACATTAGCCAACTCCTTAAGTGTTCTAGAATGAATCTCAAAAGGCCCCATAGATTTGTATGGATCCAGCTGGAACAGCAGATCCCTCACAGCATCAGAGCCAACTGGGAGTAGAATGTTCTCGCAGATATTGTTCTCCAGCTCAGAGTGCTGTGACCCCCCTTGGCCCACCCTCAGTCTTGAAGACTGAGGCGAAGGCATTAAACATCTCTGCGTTGTCTATGCCCCTATTTATGAGGTGACCATCCTCATACTGTAATGATCCAGTGTCATTTCTACACTGCCTTTTGCTCTTAATGTACTTAAAGAAATTCTTTTTATTGTCCCCCACAGTACTGGCCAACTTCAGCTCCAATGGAGCTTTGGCCACATGAATTTTCTCCCTGCAGTTGCAAGCTACATCTCTGTATTCCTCCCACATCACCTGACCCTACTTCTACTGGGTATACACCATCCTTTTATGTCTCACCTCCAAAAAGAAGATTTCTAGTCAGCCAAGCTGGCCTTCTGCCCCATCTGCTGGATTTCCAACAATTAGGAACTGCCTATTCATGTGCCCTTATGTGCAAATGGCACAGGTCATTGTGGGAAGATTGGAGGGATACTTCCTAGTCATGTCCTATTTCAACAGACATGCTATATGTATAAGGTGGGTTGATTTTTGGTTTTTTTTGTAATGTCTGCATACTTTGTAGTAATCTTAACTGCTGTTTTAGAAACTAACTCAGCTGGGGAGTTGTAGATGCCTTAGTGTTTGCATTTGTGCTATTAATTTTATTTTTTTTTAGTCTGTGAAATAATGCTATGTTTTCAGTTGTTTCTTTACCTGAATTATCAAGATAAAGCATTTTCATGCACCTATTAGACTTACAGCCTCCTGGGGCCCATGGGCTCAGGGTCTATTGGATGCACAGCTGTGGCTGATATGAGAAGGATTTGCAGAACTGGTGTAAGGCAACACTGAAACAGTTGGAAGTGGCCCCTCTTTAGCTCCACATTGCACTTTGGTTACTCAAAGTGTTTCTCCACCTCACTGTGTGCAATAGCTTTTCCTGTGGTACCACAGAAACAGTGGAGCCTCAAAAAGCTGTATGGATCTAAGGGGCCAGCTGGTTCTGCACTCCCTCAGTTGGCTTTATCAGTAGAAATTCCTTCCTTGCTGATCGAATGACCGAGGGAAAATTATCTCTTTTTAAAACAGTTCACATTTCTTCGGATTCAGTTTCAAATTGGCATTCTTAAGCTTATCACAGACCATTTGTAAATGCACTGGTTCCTGACCGAAAGATTTAGCATGTACCAGATTTGTTATCCGTCTAGGGCAAACAGTCTGAAAGAGGCACATGCCATACCATACATTCTCCATAAGCCATTTAAAAGTAGCGAGAGCACTTCATAATCTAGAGAACATTATTTAAAATTGACAGAACCTTTACCCTACCATAAAAGCAGCTGCCTCCTGCAGATTTTGGACTTACTTCCATGTTCACCTACCCACTTAAGATCAGTGCAGAAATCCAGCTAACCTTTCTGTAACATCCAAACTATCTAAACACTAGTCAAAAGTCTCTCTGATCCAGTGTGGCTCAGGCACAAAAGCTGTACTTGGTCCTACCTTCCTGAACAGAACTAGAATCAAATGACAAATGGTAATTGCTTGGTTCACTATTTAAATCCCCTTCTCTCCCCCATTCACTCAGGGTCATGAGCCCAGTAGTTGTTTGGGCTTGTCCTTGGCTTCTCATTCTCTCTCCGCCTCAGTGCTATGTTTTGGTGCTCCTTCTCTAATTGACCTTTTTTATTTTTTTCTACTATGGTGATACACAATGCTACCAATATATGTCTTGTCTGGAACAATAGTATGTCCATGTGATTTGGATGAAGGCTGTTTTAGCTATAGCTTTCCAGCATGATAGGAGATATTCATTAGTTGTTACATTTCCTTGATGAAAGCCTACTACTGTAGCTGACAATGTTGGCCAGCCTGGTCCTGCTCGATGGTAGTAGGGGCTACATGGAAAAAAGGATAGAAATCTCTGAAAGTAACTACTTAATCTTGTATCATTCCTATAATACTCATACATTTTCTTCTACAGCAAAATTAGTGGCAAAAGTGTATGAGTAATTAGACAATCAATTCTTTTTGCCAAATATCATTACATTGTCTCTGAAAGGGAAAACAACTGAGCTATGTGACTGAACATCTTCGGACCGGTTTTGCATTGTTGGACATCATGACCAGCTGGAGTAAAAAACTTTCAATTAAAACATATTGACAGTACACGGAGGTGATTGTACTGTTTTATAGTCACAGTGATACAATGTTCTGATAGTATTACAGTGTGATGCTACCAAACTAGTTTGTGACCTTGAAACCCTGTTGTTGTTTGGCTTCTACTCCTTCAATTCACTCATTGAAACTGTTAAATAGTTAAGGTGAGTTGTCACATTGACACTGAGCAGGCAGCTGCCCAAGCCCAGTCTGTTCCCCGAGTGCTGCTGGTAGTTTGGGTGTGGGCAGCTGCTTCATTTTGACTGTCCTCTATGCATGAATCTGAACAAGAAAAACTGGAAAAAATTGCCTGGCCCCTTGCCACCTTCCCACCTTAAAGGGCAGCTGGTATCTCTAGCAAGTTGTAACCACTGTTGGTCAGAATTGTATCAGGTTTTGTTTGCAGCAGGCAAATGACTGACATATTCCTTTGACACGTCTTGTGGTTTAACCTCAGCTGGCAACTCAGCCCCACATGGCTGCTCACTCACACCCCCTTGGTGAGATGGGAGAAAGAATAGAAAAAGTAGAACTGAGAAAACTTGTGGGTTGAGATAAAAACAGTAAATAGACAAAGCAAAAGCTGTGCATGCAAGCAAAGCAAAACAAGGAATTCCTTCACCATCTACTATGGGCAGGCAGGTGTTCCTCCATCCGCAGGAGAGCAGGGCTCCCTTATGCATGACAGTTACTTGGGAACACAAATGCCACCATTCCAAATGCCCTTCCCCCTTCCCTCTTCTCCCTCCCAGCTCTATATGCTAAGCAGGATGCTGTATGGTATGGATCATCCCCTGGGTGAGCTGGGGATAGCTGTTCCAGCTGTTTTCCTCCCAGTTTGTGCACCCCTAACCTCCTCACTGGTGGGGTGGAGTGAGAGGGAGAAAAGGTCTTGATGCTCTGTAAGCACGCTCAGCAGAAATGAAAACATCCCTGTTTTATCAACACTGTTTCCAGTACAAATCCAAAACATAGCCCACACCAGTTACTGTGAAGAAAATTAACTCTATCCCAGCCAAAACCAGTACAACAGAACAACTGACTTGGTCACTAGACTTGTCTGGGCTTGTCACAGCTATTTGGGTGTCTAGGAAGAGACCCAAATCTTGAATCTCCTGGGGTGGGGTAAAGTGTTTCCATCTGGGACTATATAAGCATCTCTCTTCTGCCTTACCAAGGCCCAGAGTACCCCAGACCTTCTGTACCTTAAAGGCATCTCCTCTTCCCTTTGAATAGCACTGCAGGATGAAGGGAAGTGCTTTTCCATGCTTCCATCCCCCTCTGCCACTGCAGATTTTCCTGACAGCTGTGCCTATCTCTCCCAGGACTACCTACTGTGAGATGCTCTGTGATCCTGCTCCCAGGGCATCTGGACAGACACCAGCTCTTGCTGGTTGTGCTCTGCTGCACCTTTCCACTCAGGAGACCAGGCAGAGGGCAAGGAGGTGCTCACATCTGCTGCCTATACAGTGTCAGGACACAGCACATGGAAATCTGGGAGCTCCAAAAAACACCCCAGCTTCGGAGGGACAGGAAAAGTAGACTTGTTGCCTTCTCCAGAATCACAATGGCAGAGGAACTTGGGATTGAGTGTTCTTTCTCTGCTGTCTGTACTTCTGCAACAGACTGAATTGCAGCACTGGTACTCATCTGCTGCCTCTGATTGCAATTGCCATTTTTTTTGTGTGTTTTGTCAGAGGAGATAATAGATTTTTCCCCCTCAAAAGTCAATGAAGCTATATGTATGGCATAGCTGGGCTATGTAGCAGCTGCTTTTCTGTATGTCTGACCGTTTTATCACTTCATTAGAAAGAGACTGAGATTTCAGGTTGATTTTTTAATTTTATTTCTTTCATAAGAAAAGAGACTGTAGGTAAAGTATGTCTTGTTTGCAGTATCACCTGCCACAAGTTCTTTTTTTTTTGAGAAGACTTAGAAATAAGACAAAAATAACCAAGACAACCACTACCATACATAAGCTACAGAATCCCAACTAATAACATTGAAAAAGAAGCTGATGATCTTGATCCCTTGTGTACTGCTAGTTAACTTCAAAAATCAATGGAGAGGAAGGCGTAATTGGCCTCTCTGTAGTATCAAAAAACACACCTAAATCCCAAATGTAGATTTTTACAGCTATAAATATAGTGGATAATTTTCAAACAATGTTAAAATTACTGCTTAATTCCCTTTCCTTCAGGAGAAAGCTCCTATGAGGGGCACTTGGAAAGGAATCCCTGAGTGTACTGGATATAGTTATGTGCGAACCAAGAAGTAGATTTTCAGAGTGGTATGCAGAAGGAGTGAGACCATAGCAATTGGTGAGGACCCCAGTTCTGCCATCACTTCTGCACTGAGTAACTTTAAGCATTTGTCCTGTTTGTTCAGGCAAATTCAGCTCTCAAAATATAAAGCTATTCCTGCTAAGCAACTGCTCAAACACTGATCTGGCAGTGGTCTCCTGAGTGTTTGTAGAAAAAAATACTAGGCCTTGGTTCTAGGTGAGAAATCCACATTGCTAAATATCTTTGAATATCTGAGTGCCTGGTCTTTTCAATAAAGTAAGTCTTGCTGTGCTTTTAGCCATGTCTGTATTTCCTCCTTGTTTTCTTTAAGCCATTCAATGTTGCTCTTCACCTGTTCAAGAGACTGACTCCTGGGTGATTCTCCTGCCCCAGCATTAGGATATTTTTCAAAGAAATTTTCCATCTGGAAAAGAGGTAAAGAATTGATGTGAAGTAAATAATGCTGCTATTGGGCAAGTAGCTTTTCACAGGGAGATGGTCAAGGGTAATTTTGGCTCGGAGAGATATTCAAGCTCATGCTAGTAGCACTGGAATAGTTTTAGAGTAACTCCTATTGCTTTACACATTTAGAGGATAAAAAGTTTAGTTTCCTGGCCAGAAGATTGTTAAATATATTGACTTAAACCCAAGAGAAGTGCTGCCACCATACCTGCCAAAGTTGGAGCTCAGTGTTGAAGGTTTGGGAAATAGTTACTATTCGACCAAAGGTTCTGTCATTGATAGTGAATCTAGAAAAACAATTTAATAAGTTATGTTTGATGCAAAACTGTTAAAAAAGAAAAGGCACAAATAAGTATATAAAGCTTAAATTTCTAATTGTGCTGTAATAAAACAGACTCAAATTTCAGTGTTTTTGGAAATACTTGAAAAATAGTAGGCCTATACAATATTTGTGCTGTTCTCAAATATGCCTACTAATGGAGTGATCTCTCATGGTGATTTTTTATTTTTAATGTAATGACTTATTGTCCCAAGATGGAAACTGGACAAATACTGTCCAATTCCCAGCCCTAGGCTTTCAGGTTGCTTCTGTGCCCTTACCAAGAACTTAGAAAGGAGACAGAAGGAGAGAGAAGTCACTCAAACAGGGAGGAGCAAAGCTAAAGGTTTGCTTTTACTGCCACTGCTTGTCTGTATGTCTGCTGCTTGCTGCTACCATTAGAAGAAAAATAAAAAATCAAATTCTATACACTGTCTTTTTATGAAATCAGTAGCAAGAGTGGAGAAATGACAGACAAATTTCCATGCAAATACCAGATTTCTATGGCCGTGGCAGAACTTTTGATACTTCTTAATCACCATTTACTGGTAGTCATCATTTAGGGTAAGAATGGTTTTCAAGTTAGCAGCAAAGCACTTTTTCACAGCAGATGGATATAATTGTGTTGAATATGTTTTAAGTTTTCATTTTGCAAAGGCCAGTGATTATAGCTGTATAGTGAAAGCACAGAAAATCATGGCATATAACAAGATTTACAGATGGATGTGGTTTCCAATAAATTCATTGGAGTACCTGTCAATTAAGTACTGCCAGTTCAGTCGTATCCAGTCCCAGGCCATTGTTTTCCCATAGGTGTTATATGAGATGTATCTCAGGACTGTGAACACATCTTGGCTTTTGATGAGGCTGGTGTTGTAAATATATTTCAGATACCTAAGGGAAATGCCATGAGAATCAATGAGAGCCATTTCCAAACAGGAATATTATTTTTTCCTACAGCATTTTAAGGGCAAAGTTCACTGATCATGTGTCAAGAGATAATTGCATTGAAAAAATCTAAACAGAATCTCTTTAGAAAGTAACTAGGGTTTATGTCTCTACTTGAAAATAGTCAAACCCTGTTATTATTCCTATATTTCAATCAAGTAGGGAAAACAGAATTGGATCAGTCAGTAGTTCAGCCTGTTTGGGCAGCCAAGCACCAAAAAAAGGACTAGTCCAGGCTACAAGGATATTACAGGGAACATGAGTACATGCACAGGTGGCTTGCTCACGCTGACACCTGTGCTGTTTGTTCAGGAACTTTTCTCCGGACAAAATTAAAATTAATTTGGGCAGAGCATGCCTGAAAGTGCTGCAGTTTTAATTCCAGTTACAGCACAAGTGGTTTTGACTGACAGAGTGGAGGGATCCCTCAGCATGCATGTTTGCAGAGAGATGATCAGCATGGTCATGGCTGCACAGCAGCAGCTGCAGAAGAACAACCTTTTAAACTCTTGTGTTCTGGGATTAAGCATTGTCTTGGGTTTTTATATATAAGAGGCACAATTTTGTTTAATCTGTTTACTCTTTTCCCCTTGCTTTTTATTTTAACAGTAAATTAAGAGACATGTTTCCCTGCTTTAGAGGGGATTTTTTATTTTCTGCAAATATAGGCTGACCTAGCTAATCATGTCAGCTGTCAGTTATTGAATGACTTTAGATCGTGGCTGTTGTGGTCACAAGAATTTAGGAATACAGATGCCTCCTATCACTATTTTAATTACTCTAACTCTTATATTTACTTTTCCTGAACCTCTTATACTTCCTTGTTTCATCTTGTTTAAACTTGGAACTCTTCCAGGCAGAGACTGCTCCATTTTATGATGTTTAGATAGGGCTCCAACGAAGTGGTGAATGGCCCTGGTGAAGGTGTTTGCCTGTATCTCTGCTGCATGATACAATTACATGCAAAGTTATCAGATGAGCTTAAAGTAGCTGGTGTGCCTATGCCAAGCAACAGCCTGGTGAGATGCTTGCCCAGTCTGACAGCTGGACTGACCTGGGGCATGAATGCATAATTTTTAGTTCTAGCTCAGGTACCTCTGCACAGCACTTTAGGGAGCACTGCAATGCCATCATAGGACTGTTAGCAACAATTGCTCAGGGTTGTTTGCTTAATTTTGGCATCTAGTCTGAGCAAAATCCCTCTGGAGCCAACGGAGGGTGACTGACAACACCCAAAAGCAATTCTTCCCATTGATTTTAAGTCCCTTTCCTGGTTTGGGATAAACAGTGCTCTGGAGGTTCTGCCTCCCTTCACTGATTATAGAGGAAACAGATGACTAATTTTCTCCTGATGCTTAACTATTGGGCAGCTAAAATTGCACAGCATGAAAGGCACTATTGGAAGAGCTGAAGGCTGTTGCTTGTGTGCAGGAACCACCATGTGTTCAATATCTTTCCACTGAAGGAGCAAGGATTTTATTCTGCTGTAGTATAATCTCAGAGAGGGGTGTTAGATAACTGGTCTTGAAAATGTGTTGCATTCCTCATGCTGTAATCTGACAAAAATGACAGCACAGCAGAGAGGATAGAGGAATGAG